GAGGGAGAGGAAAGAGGGGGAGAGGAAAGAAAAAGAGGAAAGGGAGAGGAAAGAGAGGAAAGAGAGAAAGAAAGAGGGGGAAAGGAAAGAGAGAAAATGAGGAAAGAGAAAAAAGATTGAGAAAAGAGGAAAGAGAGAAAGGAAAGAAGAGAAAGAGAGGAAAGAGAAAGAGGAAAGAGAGGAAAGAGAGGAAAGAGGAAAGAGAGAGACAGAGAGAGGAAAGAGAGAGAGAGAAGTTAGAGGAAAGAAAGAGGAAAGAGAAAGAAAGAGGAAAGAGAGGAAAGAGACAGAGAGAGAGAGACCCTTTTGACATGTAAAATGGAGATACCACTGCATATATCCTTTTTTACCTTTATTTTATATATACACACACAAACATACACACACACACACACACACACACACACATACACATCATAAAGGTAAAAAAGGATATATGCAGTCTTATCTTCATTTTAGATATCCAAAGGGTTTTGCGGCTCCCAGTGTTTTGTTTTTGGTGGGAAACGTGTCCAAGTGGCTCTTTGAGTGTTTTGGGTTGCCTACCCCTGATATAGCCCAAACTCTATATTTTAACTGGGAAAGTTGGGGGTCATCTTATACGCCCAGTCGTCTTATATGCCGGAAAATACGGTATTTTTTTCAGACTTCATACCTTCTTTATAGTTCAGTAGTTGTTACTTTCCTACATTCAATATATATTTTCACTATAACTTGACAAATACTATTTCACTATGAATGAAAGTTCTGCAGGCTGAACAGTGTGCTTTCTATGTTTTCAGATATCCTCAGTTGATATTACATTATATATGTTATTATATTTTCTTTGTTCCTGCCAAAGCTTCTAACTTAGCACAACTATTGCCCCTTGTAATTAAAACTAAAAGTAATATTCAGGGAATAATACATAAAACAGTTATTTCAGATTAAAGGCTAAAGTTGAGATGTATAATTTAAAAGATGTTCAAAAGTTTGACTACATCCGAAACTAAAGAATGAAATTTGACTCGTCATTGCAGCCCAGTTTAAATACTCATGGGATACTAATAAAGTAAACCTGAAATTCATGAAATGCAAATTATCTAGAATTTAATAATTTACTGCACTTGACTCAGAAGCAAGACACTGAAATTGTATAGCAATAATTTCTTTCTTACTATCTTTAAGGATTATAACCTCAGGGAAGTTTCATATATTACAGACGGCTAGGGAGAAAAAAACAATCCAGCAGTCTTGCTTCTTTAAAAAAAATTGCCCATATATGTTTGCATTACAGCTGTGATGCAAATTCCTTTGCATACTGTACAGAAACATTTAAAATAGCTTAGGTATATGTCTAAAATGTAAATGCACAAAGAGTTTCTCACTTTTTTCAAAATATATTCATTTGATCATTACACAATAAAATTTGACATAATTCATTCAAGGTACTAAATTAATTAAAAGCAAAGTCTCACTTGAATACTGTCTCCAAAGGTGTCCATGTGCTGAATGGAGGTGCCTCTCAGGTACTCCTTCAGGTTCTACAGATTGCCTAGAGATTTTCCATTATTTTTAAGACTGGGAACCCCAATATTATGGATGGATGAATTGATGGATACATATAGCATCATCTGGTTTTCTTTTCCCTGCTGTACATCATTTATAGATTAAAGGGAAGAATTTATAATTGCCTAGCTTTCCCAGTTTAACTGCAGAGACCTAGCTAAAAGAAAAACTGCCTAGATACATCCTAGTAATCTCAAGAAAGTTTCATTGATTCTTTAGTGAGAACAGATCTAGGAGCTGAGCTCCTAAATATTTCTAATGCCAATAAAGGTAAAGGTTTCCCGTCCAGTCATGTCCGATTCTAGCCAAGGGAACAGGCATTGTCTGAAAACATTTTCTATGATCATGCGGCCAACAGGATTATATGCCAAAGCACTTGGAATACTGTTACATTCCCACAGAGGTGGTACCTTGCATTTACATGCTTTCAAACTGCTAGGTGGGAAGGAGTTGGGACAAGTAACAGAAGCTTACTCTGTTGTGCAGTGCTCAGGTCTTGAACCTGAGCTGTCAGCAGCCAAATGTAGGACATTTCTAATGAGTGAAATCTATAGAAACAGAGACTTATAGTTTTGATTGATGAGATTTATACCTGTGGAATTCTACATGATGCATTTATCACATCCTGGAGAACCTGCAATCATTTCTCAGTATCTGACAAATTTCAATTTCAGTAAGATTTTCACTTTGAATAAACAACTCACCATGTAAAACCCCCCAGGAAAAAATCATGTGGAAATAAGTCTCCAATGTCAAAAAAAAAAAAAAAAGAGTATACAACTGAAAACAAAATGGAAATACAAGTAATTCCCGAGTTACAAGCGTTTACGTAACATTCATTTGAAGTTACATGGCAAGCACCCCTATTGTTTACGAGCAAATCCCAGTCCTTCACCCTTACGAATGACTGGAGATGCTCAGCAACATTCACCCTACTCCCCCCCCACATTCCTCACAATTGTTTTCCCCTCCCTTCCTGCCCCCCCCCCCGGACTCACCTTGCAAAATCTGTCTCCTCTCTGCCGCAGTTTCTTTCCCTTTGAGTGAGAGGAGAAAAGCTTTGAAATGCTTTTTGCACTGGCAATGGAAGCTCTTGGGTGCCGTAATATCGTGAAAGTTCAAACATCCATTCTCTGCAAAAGAGATCATGGCCCCCGGAAGCTTCCATTCTCTGAGGGGGAAAGTGTTTGCTTTGTTTGCATGCCTATGGGGCAAAGCGTGGAATCAGAGTTGGCAGGGCGCAGGAACCAATGCTGTCCGTGGCCCAGGTGAGTGGCTCGCTTGCGTGAATAGGCATTAGTTTGAGGATAGGAACAATGGTGAGGCATCGTGAGGCCAGGTCCCTTGCACCCATGTCCAAGCTGGCGGCGGTGGCAACCACCTGAGCGGCCATGATCCCCCCTCCCCAGCAAGCTATCCACCCCACCCAACCTATTCCTTCCCTGGCCAGCCAGCTGGCACAAATCCTCGCCGCTCTTCTCCTCCTTGCCCTTCCCTGGGTTTCTCGGCTTCATCCAAGTGGAAGAAAGCAGCGGTGCAGCAGCAGGATTGCTCACAAACAATAAGACCCGGGTGTGCTGCTTGCTCTCGTACGTTGGCCTTATTGAGAGCAATCCCGCTGCTGCACCTCCGCTTTCTTCTACTCAGATGGAGCCGAGAAACCCAAGCCACTGCCAATCATACACTTTTTATCTGAAGGGAGACCTTGGGGAAACTGGATTCTCCATCTGTGAGCAAATGGGGTGGAAGCAAATTGCTTTGTTTTGAATTGCTCCATTTGCTCACAGACGGAGAATCCAGTTTCCCAAGATCTCCCTTCGGATAAAAAGTTTATGAGTGCCTATCTGGCATTTGAAAACGATTTGCACATGAGCAAGCAGCGCATCCGGGCCTTATTGTCTGAGAGCAATCCTACTGCTGCACCTCTGCTTTCTTCCACTTGAATGGAGCTAAGCAACCCAAGCTGCTGCCGCCACTTGAGTAGGAAGGATGAGGAGAAAAGCAGTGAGAATTTGTGCCAGCCGGCCGGCTAGGCAACAAGTAAGTCGGGTATGGTGAAGGGCTGGCTGGGGAGGGGGGATCATGGCTGCTCAGGTGGTTGCCTCCACTGCCGGCTTGGACGCAGGTGCAAGGGACCTGGCCCGCGATGCCTCACCATTCAGTTGAAGGCTTTGTTCCTGTCTTCAAACTAAGGCCTGCGCACACAAGCAAGCCACTCACCCAGGCAGTATTGGTTCCTGCGCCCAGCTAACTCCGATTCCACGCTTTGCTCCATAGGCATGCAAACGAAGCAAATACTTCTCCTCCCAGAGAATGGAAGCTTCCAGAGGCCATGATCTCTTTTGCAGAGAATGGGTGTGTGAACACGTGATATTATGGCACCCAGAAGCTTCCACTGTCAGCGCGAAAAGCATTTCAAAGCTTTTTTCCTCTCCCTCAAGAAGAAACTGCAGCAAAGAAGAGACAGACAGGTAGGTGAGGAGGAAGCATGAGGTATTTTAGTGGATCGGGGAGGCCTTGGGGGCCTTTTCCATCACTAGGCCCTCCATGGCCTTGCCCACCCTGAGATACCTCATGTGCACTTAACTGCGCATTCGCCCATATTTGATTAGCAAATGCATGGACAAAAGTAGGAAGTGAATCACTTTCAAAGTACAAGATTCACTCCTACAAATTTTTGTGTTACAAATGGAATGGGCAGGCTCCATTACATTTGTAACTCGAGGACTACTTGTACTAACAGTCAATTCTCATATTCTCATATAAAAAAGCAAGCCCAAGTTTATAATCAGGCCACCAACCAAGACTCCTTATTGAGTTCTCCTGTTTGAGATGCACCTTTCACACCTAATTAATTAGGAATACCTATAAAAACAACATATGCCAAAACAGGATTGTAAAAAGATTCCCAGAATCAATATTAAAACTTCAAACTTTTTCTTTACATAAGCAGTATTTTCTAGACGTATTTTTTTTATTACTCTATTTTGGTAAATTATTGTTGACCCTCAATAGCGTTTTCCTTTCCATTCCAAATCAGCAATTTGCTATGACATCTGCACTCCCAAAAGGAAAAATGCATGTTCTTATTTTTGGCAGCCAACCTTCCACAAACTGTTAGCAAAGGAGATTTTGTAATCTTCTTCCCTCCAATGTTGGTGCTAGTGAAACAAAGGGATTTTATTCTGACATGAAAGGTTTTCTACATATTGTACTACAGTTCCTCCAAAGTTTCCTTTATCAACTATTTGTCTAAGCTTTATTAATAAATTCATCTGCTTCAATTAATTCAACTGTTTTCAGTCCATCATCGTCTTTTTTTTCTTTTTTCATCTATAAAATGATAGAATATCTTCCTAGAGGTTTAAATTATTTTGTGCTTGTTACCGTACTTTCCCTCAAACATGTGTTACTATATGCATCAAAATCACAAAGAGAATAAATTAAAAAGGTCAGCAAAGAGAATTTAAATATAGGTTTGGGAAGGGAAGCATACAAAAATCTCTTATTTTGAATATGTCAAAACTTAATTTGTCCTGTGCTGCAAGTCCATCATTATTGTCCAAATTATTCTAGTTGGAACAACAGCAAAGGATAGTAGAGTTCTGAGAAATCTGTAGCTTAGCTCACAATTGATCTCCTTTTTGACCAAGGTCCTGCTGGTTTCAATAAAGAGATTATGTGGAAGATTTCACAGCCTGCTCATATGATGGGGGTGGGGTGTTGCAGTAAGAAGGTGGAGGGGGATAAATTTGGTTCATTTGTGGAGACTTTGGTTGGACATGGTAACTCATGGCCATAGGATTCATCATAATTCCTTCTGAATCTGCATAATAGGCCATTCCTGGTTGCTGGGCTCCTGAAAAAGAGACACAATAGAAAATATCAGAAATTGATTAATGTGACCATGTCTAAACAAATAACTCTGGATGATTTTCAAGCTATTCACAAGGCTTTTTATATTGTATAGTTTAGAGAATGTTAAATGTAAAAAATACCCCATCAAGAAGATCAGATTTCGCAATCTGAAAGAAGAGGATCTTTTTTCTTGATAACTTGGAAATGATACAATATTTCTACTAATTTGATATTCAAATTGCTGCACTTGCCATATTATATATACAAGCTTTGTTTCTATTTATTCCTCTATTACCATTTTTTTGAATCAGCCATCCAACTTAGTATTTAATGAATTATCATACATATGCTGTGACAAAGACTATGTAATAGGATGCGAGACAGAACCAAGTTCAGTTCACAGAATGTCTAAAGTAAATAAAACAGAAACTAGAATATTGTGCAGAAAGGCTGCCTTCATTTTGAAATTAAAGTGGATTTCTAGGAAACTCTTCAGAATTCATTGGACAATTATCTGGCACTTACATGGTAATATGGTTCTATCCAGAAAACATTGCTGCAATGATACCCCTCAGAAAAAGTGAGTGTTGACCGATGAAGTTTTTATTGTACAGTTTTATTTTTATTTGCTATGGTCTCAAATTTTATTGGGACAATATACTTCTCTAATAATTTCATACTCTTTGTCCTATATATTTAAATTCTAATAAAGAAGGGAGTAATGTTACAAAAGATACCTTTTGACTGGTAGGGCTCAGAGTCTCCTCTCTGAAAGTACACACCATCCTATATGATGTGATATGATGACTCCCTTCAAATCATTGATGGTATCAATTCACCCCTCTCCCCTCATGATTTACATATATTCACTTAATTCTGAATTATAATCCACAAATCTAAAATCTGTCAGTAGATAACATAACTGGGACCTGGTATTTCTGGTGGCTTATTCTTCAACAGTAGAAAGATATATCTTCTATCAGAATAATGCATGGACAAAATAACGGTCTATGTTTGAATTTGAAGCATATAGTATATACTACACTGTATATGCTTAAAGATCTCTTCTTGTTCAAGGTATGGCCTCTTCAATTATATTTAGTTTAGTACATGTTTACTATTAAGCTATATTTAAATTTATTTTCCCTTTTCTTCTATTCAAATTATTTTTACCCTGATTAAAAGAAAATTTATGTACAGGTAGTCCTCGATTTATGAGTGTAATGGAGCCTGCCATTCCACTCGTAATTCAAAAACTCGTAGAGTGAATCTCATATCTCGAACAAGATCACTCCCTTGCTCATTAAAACGCACGCAGCTGGAAAAGATGACTAAAATACAGATAGAATTTAAGCCAGAACTGTTTTTGTTAGGAATATTAGGATTTAATTATGGAAAAGAGAACGAATATTTAATATTACATGTATTGACAGCTGCGAGAATAGCATTTGCCCAATTCTGGAAAAATGAAAATCTACCACCTGACCAGATTATAATCACAAAAATCTTAAAATGTGCAGAAATAGATAGGCTAACTCTAGAGATTAAAGAGAAAGAAGACTCAGTTTATTTTAAAACATGGGAAATGTTTTATCAATGGTTAGCAATATGATCTAGCGAGAAAGTATTGTGAAATTTAATAGGATGAATGATATTTACTGATTAACTATTACTTTCATGATTATTGTTATTCTTAGTGACTATAACTGTTTAGCATTATATTAATTATTGTTACTTAATATTTGTATCCAGACGACAGTCTGCTTGCTAAAGCATAGAATTATTGTTGGGGGTAACCCCACTACTGTACCTACCCTCACTCTAACCCCATTCCTGAACTCTACCCAATACCTATCCCTTCCCTATCCTTATAAAACCTAATAAAATATCTAAAAAAAACAAACGCATGAAGCTGATTAAGCAAACATGAAATATCTTGGGGTAGGGAAGGCCATGGAGGGCCTAGAGATGGAACCCACTAAGATGCTGCATGCTTCCCCCTCTCTCCCTGCCGCGCTGGACTCACCTGGAAAAGATCTGTCTCCTCTCTGCCACGGTTCCTGGTGCCGCCTGGATCTGAGGCCAGGGGATGCTTCTGCGCCCCCCCCCGCGGCCCAATCTGGGCTCTGGAGGTCTTTTCCAGGCCGTTGCCACCTGGATTTGAGGCCGGGGAACGCTTCCATACACACCCCATGGCCCAATCCAGGCTCCGGAGGCCTTTTCCAGGCTGTTGCCACCTGGATTTGAGGCCGGGGATTGCTTCTGTGCCCTCCCTGCGGCCTGGAAAAGGCCTCTGGAGCCCGGAGAAGTGTTCCCTAGCCTTAGATCCAGATGGCAGCAGCCTGGAAAAGGCCTCCGGAGTCTAGATCCAGCCTCCAGAGGCATGTGGAAGTGCCCTCCAGCTTTAGTTCCATTCTCTGTTGCAGAGGCCTAAAGTACCATGAGATCTCGCGAGGTCAGTAGAGAGAAATCTCGCCCAACTGATCTCACGTGATCTTGCATTACTTTTGGCCTCCGTTCTCTGCAAATGCACCAAAGGCCTGGAGCAACCAAGAAAATGAAGGATATCAATCTTCGTAGGGTGAGTATTGAAGGACTGGTGCCTAGGGAGACCCAGGGCAGGGGTGGGGAGGAAGGAAATAACCAGGGTGAATGTTGCAGAACCACTGTGGTCGCTCGTAAGGGCGAACGACTGCCATGGTACTGCAATATTTGTAACTTCGGGACTTGCTCGTAAGCACTAAAGGGCGCTCATCACATAACTTTGAACAAGCATTAAGTGAGCGCTCGTAACTCGAGGATTACCTGTATTCAACAATATACAATGAAGCATTTTAATATGTGAATAACTACAAGGAGAAAAATAGATAATTTCCTTTGTGTCATTTTAATCCTATGTGTGAGTTTGTGTGAAATATAATAGAACAAGAATGTATTTACATTTTGAGGGGGCTGGCTTGATAACCATTTGATGTGTTTAGGTTTCTTAGACATGTTAGTGTTATTTCTTTGATTACAAAAATAATAATAATTTTATTCCATGGGAAAAGTAATTTAAAACAGTTGTGCTTTTATCTTCTTTTCATTAAACAGCCATCCCAATCTGGTACACTATGAAATTTCAATTTAAAAGTCTCAGAACAATTTAGCTTCTTCGTTTTTTATTATTTTGCCTATTTTGTGGCCCCAGCAGTTCTTGCTTGCAGGCAAATGCTTTTTCTTGCATATATTCCAATGCGGTATTGTTGCTACTTTGTCATGCTGTTGTTTTTGTGATCTTGCAATAGCTAATTACATGGCCCACTGTTTCTTCAATTTTATTACATTCTGGTGATATATTAGAAAAAAAATCTTAATAGCAAATTTTAAATAGCAAATCTGTTTGCTTTGGATGGACTCTCCTTTGTTGGAGATATGTAAGTTGAACAACTATGGCTTTAACTTGCATTGAGATAGCCAGATGGCCTTCAACCTGTTTTTTAACTTATTACTTGTATGATCCTTTGTAGTCACACCATTCATTCATGGCACAAACTTTGCCTTGAAATTATACTTCTTCAATCTGCCTCTTTTAAGATGTCTGGCAGATTGCATAAGGTAATGCATTATATTACCTTATGATCAAATCAGTGACGACATGACAGTAATTATTGAGATAAATAATTACTATATTACTGAGCAACAGAGGTAAACCTGATAGGACAATTGTAATCTCTAACCTGCTGTACTGGAGTTAGGCGGTCGAGTGAATGATACATTGTAAGTTGTTTCATCAACCAGTGGTGGAGGATACATCCGTCTTCGGATAAAGAAACCAGCCCCACAGCAAAATAAAACTCCCATCATCAGAAGGAACCTGAGCAAAACAAAGAGAGAGAGAGAGAAACAGGTTAAAAAAATTGGATTACTTACAAAATTTAATGTATAGTTAATTATTGATCCCAGTACAAGTAATTAATCCAATGGTCAATAAATCTAAATGGCTCAGAGGAAATGGAAAGATTTTTTTTGATTATGCTTCAAGTACTGTTCAGGTAGAGTATATAAATTTCAACTTGCTTAGCATTAGTTTTTTGGTCCCTAGAGCTTCCCCCAGTTGGGCAAATATTTGAGCATGTTGGACATGAAAATACATTAAGAGTTTTTTCCACAACCTTTCCAAATCTCAAAAACAACCTGGGACAATGAAACTAATAGTTGTTGCATGTTCACATAATAGCCATCTAGTCTAAACTTTAAGGATTGCTCAATCCCAGGTTGGTCAGAGGGGGAGAAAGATCTTCTGATCTTTAGGGAGTTAGAGACTGCATCCAAAAGGAAGAAGGGATGACCAGAGAGAGGCTTCATGGTGTGAAAGAGATGCTTACCTTGATGCTATTCACTCATTCTAAGCTTGTACATGTCCAAAGAGAACTATGACTCTTGTTCCAGATTTAATCTTCTATTCTTGTTATACCCATATACTTTATTGGATTCTATGGCCCATTGAACTGAATGAAGCTTGCTTACATGAAGGCAGGTATCAGATTGTATTAATTACTTGAATCTATCTATCATAGTTAGTAATACAGGAATTCTTCTTTAACTGATTTAGAAAGCATCAGATGTGAAGTGCTGCCTTAGGCTCTTAAATTCATTTTCATAGCAAATTAACTGCAAAAGAAGCTTCATGGATATCATATTAACCTTGCTAGCTGCTTAGCAACTTACCAAAAATACCATAGTCGCTGGATCGACAAACTTCTCACGCAGCATCTTGAACCACAACAATCTTCATAGGATCGACATCTGTATAATGGGGATAAAAATGTAAAAACTAAAAATTTTAAGATTTCTTAGATTTAAGAAATTTAAGATTTAAGAAAGTAGAATTTCAGAATGCTACAGTTCTGTTTCCTTGATTGCTAGACAACAAATTCTGGAAGGTCCACAGTTCTGCTTTAAAGAAATTTACTTTCAGTGCTAATCTGGACTTGTCAAGAAGTCAGAGCTATTCATCATCAACTACTACAGATTCAAAGACAAAAAATTATTTAGCTGTTGATACAACTGATTTTTTCTTCATTCATATTCATGGGGTTATACTTTGGGTATACTAGGAAAGAAGAAAACAAAACTATCTGCAATTTCACATGGATATAAATAATATATTTTCAAAACTGGATATTTATATTGATGAAGCCAAGCCACAAAACATGGATTAAGAAATCATTTGTATCTAGGCATATCTATGAAAAAAAGCAAAACTGAAAGTTTTCCTAGAAAAATGTGAAAAAACCCAAAATAAATTAAAATAATTCATTATTTCATTACTTAATTAACAGCATTATGCTTGGGCACTCAGTCATCCAGATATTTATACTGGATTTGGCATTTTTGTTCACCTATCAAGTCCTTACCAAAACCCAAGATAGACAGATGTTACTGTTTAATAACATAAGAAATAACATTGCAGTTCCAACTAAAGCTGCCTTTTGCAATTATTACTATTATGATTAGTCACACATTTTTTTCTGTTCTCAAATTATTCCTCTATTTAGTATAAATCGAGAGGAAAAACACATATTACCAAATTGCATACATAAGTTGTTAGATGCTGGCTTAGCACTAAAGAATTTCACTGTAAATATATTCCCAGGTAGAATCTCTTCTTTTGGCCTTATGCCATCAGTGGAGAGATCTCAAAATCACCTTCCACTGGGCTTGTAATGGGAATGTTTTTCTGTTCATGATATGGACAGTGAAGTCTCAGGGTGGATAGAAAGAAGCACTGCAGTCCAAAAGTATTTAATTACAATAAAAACTCTTCAACAAGAAATATAGATTTATTATGAAGCAACTATATTAAGAGCTATAAGCCGTTTAATGTTTAGGTAGATATTGTTTTCCTGAGATATTTATATTTTTATCACCACTGCTCTGATTTTCCCAACTTGCAACTGAGAGGCTGCAACTTGCTACATAAGACCTGTGTGGGAGGAAAAGATCTTCTTTATCTTTACTCCTTGTAGGAAGCCCCCTCTCTCCCCAGAATAAAATATTCTTTATTCTTAAGATTAAAAAAAAAGGCAGAATAGAATATTTCCCCTGAAGGAGAAGAGGAAAAGCAGAAAGCAGCCCCAAACTTCCTGCTATAGAAAAACAGACTCAAGCAGAAACCTGAAGAGGCTAGTCTTTAGGAATGGAGATTTTGTAATCCATTCAGAAAGACTGGGCCACTATTTATAAACAAAGAGCAGCCAGAAACTCCAAATAAGCAATACAAAAGGCAATGAGCCCAAAGTGACAAAATTAGCTCAAATAAAACACCAGGGTCTGCATTTCCCCTCTTCCCTGTAGAGCCAGCCATGAGCAATACATGACCCCACAGGAATCTGGCAACAGACATTAAAATATTAAAGCACACATTCTTAGACAGGAACAGGCATCTCAATCGCAAAGCCCCAAAGAAGGTATAAAAACCTACCTACATCTTAACTCCATTTAGTCAACTACCCCAGAAAAATGCTGCTGTCATTCTGGCTATCAAATAAACAAAGACTTTCTTTCCTGCAGCCTGCCTCCATTTTATTTCCAGTCCATTAGGGCTGCATGTGCCGACTCTCGCATTCCGGTTTTGGCTTGGGCCCCACCGGGGCTTCACAAGAGGAAGCTTCCTCTGGTCTCATCACTCCATCTGTTCCTCTATCAACTGCTGACATCTCGAAACCGCCAGCCTCCAGGTAGGCTGTTACATTGGAGAGCTGTTTTAATGTCAACTCTCCAGTTGGCATTTCCAGAAAAAGAAACTCCTGGGACATGATTTTACCAAGAGTATAATACTTTCCTGAAAATGTACATTGGCACAGAAGAAGTGAAAACAGTTCTAGTTTTCTCACTAGAAAGCTTACTTAATTAAACAAATGAGGCTCTGCTGCCCTCTAGTGCTCATCTAGTGCTCAAAGAAGATGTGTGGATAGCAGTCAGTGTTGAATTCAGTGAAAAGAAATTCATACACATATTGGCATAAAGTAAAAAATAAAATAAGAGAAAAATAAGAGGAAGGAGAGATGTTGGATATGTTTGTCACCATGAATTATTTGTAAAGATAATAAAGGGAGGATATAAACAACAAAACAAAGACAATTAGTTTTTCAATATTAAGGTCACCTTTAAACAAGACCAAAAAGATGATTCCTGTTTTTGCCATTCCTAGCTAGAATATATTCATTTGCTTATTTAGTTGTTACAAATATTATATCCTGTCCCATTCAGAAGCTCTGTGAGACATACACATTATGAAATTATAATCTTCAATAATCCACTATCATAAAACTTTACCATAAACACATAATGAATTATTGTCTTCCATAAGATTTAGTTCTTTTCCTCCTTGTTATTTAGCCTCTGTGAAGCAGCAAACTTTTTCCATGGCACCCGTCTCTAAAGAACATTCTTCTACGTTAGTTGCTTGTAGGAGTACATAGAACTGAAAGCACTACTTGGCTAGGCTATTGTTTTCATCTTTGCTTAAACTTTAGTTTAATTTTTGTTTAATTTAAAGATTGTTAACAAAAATTAAACTAAGGTTTAAGTAAAGATGAAAAGAATAGCCTAGCCAAGTAGTGCTTTCAGTTCTATGCACTAGAGTAATCTGTACAGGCAGAGTGGTAGGGCTACAAAAGAGGGAGACATCAATGAATAGGAAAGATGGTATTCTAGATATAATAATAATAATAATAATAATAATAATAATAATAATAATAATAATTATTATTATTATTATTATTATTATTACTATTATTATTATTATTATTAAATTTTGTCTTCAGCTGTTCTTTGTCTCTTTGTCTTCTTTAACAATCAACAGAGAAATAAATCCTAAAGCAAGTGGGAGATCAAACAGGTTCTTGATATGCCTAGCTGACAACTTTGTCATCCCTAAAGTGGGGGAGAGAACTAAAGGGTCAGCTATACTTAAATCTTACTAATAGAGAAGAAACGGCTAAGGAAGTGAAAGTTGTAGGAACTTTGCGGGAGAGTGACCATATCATACTAGAACTCACCATAGTAGTAGTAGTAGTAGTAGTAATAGTAGTAGTAGTAGTAGTAGTAGTAGTAGTAATAACAACAAAAACAACAAAAACAAAACAATAATAATAATAATAATAAAAGTTGGAAGGGACTTTGGAGGCCATCTAGTCCAACCCTCTGCTCAGGCAGGAAACCCTATACCAGTGGTTCTCAACCTTCCTAATGCCGCAACCCTTTAAGACAGTTCCTCATGTTGTGGTGACCCCCAACCATAAAATTATTTTCGTTGCTACTTCATAACTGTAATTTCGCTACTGTTATGAATCGTAATGTAAATATCTGATATGCAGGGTGTATTTTCATTGTTACGAATTAAACATAATTAAAGCAGAGTGATTAATCACAAAAACAATATAGCAATGCTCGCTGGAGAAGCTTACTCTTCCTTGCTCAAAAATGTTGGGAGGTAGGGAAGGGGAAGAGGGAGAGAGAGATTGAAGGGGAAAGGAAGGAAATGGAGAAGGAAGGAGATTGAAGGGGAAAGGAAGGAAGGAAGGAGAAAGAGATTGAAGGGGAAGGGATGGAAATGGAAGGAAGGAAGGAAGGAAGATTGAAGGGGAAAGGAAGGAAGGAAGGAAGGAAGGAAGGAAGGAAGGAAGGAAGGAAGGAAGGAAGGAAGGAAGGGAGATTGAAGGTGAAGGGAAGGAGATGGATGGAAGGAAGGAAGGAAGGAAGGAAGGATTGATCTTTGGAGACATGTTTTTCCAGATGGTGATGAACTGCAACTCCCAGCATTCCCCACTCTTGCCCTCTCCCAGCTGCCCCCCCGGGACCTGCCCGCCCCTCCAGCCTCAGAGTCTCAACATCTTTTTTACATTGTGATGACCAAAACTGGATGCTGTATTCCACATGTGGCCTTACCAAGGCACTCTAAAGTGGTATTAACACTTCACGTGATCTTGATTCTGTCCCTCTATTAACGCAGCCTAGCACTCTGTTGGCTTTTTTGGCAGCTGCAGCACACTGCTGGCTCATATTTAAGTGATTATCCACTAGGACTGCGAGATCCCTGTCACAATTACTACTATTGAGCAAGGTACCACCTATACTATACCTGTGCATTTGTTTTTTCTTGCCTAAATGTAGAACCTTACTTTTTTCACCATTGAATTTCATTTTGTTAGATAGCGCCCAAATGTTCAAGTCTGTCAAGATCCTTCTGTATCTTAAGCCTATCTTCATGAGTGTTGGCTATTCCTGCCAGCTTGGTGTCGTCTGCAAATTTGACGAGTTCCCCATCTATCCCCTCATCCAAATCATTGATGAAGATGTTGAAGAGCACTGGGCCCAGAACTGAGTCCTGGGGCACCCCACTACACACTTCCCTCCATGTAGATGCAGTTCCATTGAGAACTATATGCTGAGTATGGCTTGTCAGCCAGCTACGAAGCCATCTGGTGGTGATGCAGTCTAACCCACATTTTTCTATCTTATCGAGCAGTAGGTTGTGATCTACTTTATCAAATGCCTTACTGAAGTCCAAGTAAATTATATCCACAGCATTCCTCTGATCCACTAAGTTTGTCACCTGATCAAAGAATGCAATAAGATTTGCCTGACATGATCTGTTTTTGACAAACTTATGTTGGCTTTTGGTAATGACTTTGTTTGTCTCTATGTGTTCGCTGATTCGTTGCTTGATTATCTTTTCCAGAATCTTCCCAGGTATTGAGGTCAGGCTAATAGGTCTGTAGTTTTCTGGATCCATTTTGTTTTTGTTTTTGAAGACGGGAACTACATCAGTTCTTTTCCAGTCCTCTGGTAGTTCCCCAGGTGCTCCAGGATCTTTGAAAAATATAGTTCAGTGGTTCTGAGATCACATCTGCCAGTTCCTTCAGAATTTTGGGGTGTAGTCCATCTGGTCCTGGTGATTTGAACTCGTCTAAGGTGGACAGGTGCTCTCTTACCATTTTCTTGCCTGTCTTAACTTGTGTTTTTGTTTTTTACGGTACTGTTTTTGATAGTTTGGACTGTTTTTTCCCTTCGTGTAAAGACAGATGCAATGTATAGTATATATTATTAATTTCTAATAATTGGCTTTTGTTTATTATATAATTTTAGTTTCCTTTCCATTGATGTACCATTGATACATTTATCCATTGCAGTCATTACCACTAGGAAGAAGACTTGAAATTTTTATCCCACATCGGCACATTCATACAGACAAATGAACAGAAAGAAAAAAGGAGAATCACTTACATATAATGTGTAGGATACACCCCTTCAAAGTACCAGCATTGCTTTTTGGCTTCTGAATCCTGAAAAGAAAGAAAAAATATAGCATTGTTCATCAGATGCCAGCATGAATCATTGTAAACATAAAATATATTACAATTTCATTTATATTCTAGGCACATTTTTCCAATGTGACACCATCTAAATGTGAGCTAAGTATAATTTACATTTTGCATGTGGAATTGAATAAAAATAATTTTAAATAAATCCTAGGATAATAAAAATTACCGGTTTGAGAAAGAATTAAGTGTTCCCTTTGAACCATTGATTTTCTTCGACAACTTTCTTCAGGGCTCTTGCCTGAAGGAAGAAGGCAAGGAAACAAAGAATTGACAAGAATCTTTTGTCACTACATCTGCTTTGCCCCCAGGAATCCTAGACAAATTATAACCTTTTCTCTTATCACAAACTATAGGCATATGCAAACATTTGCAGTGAAATTCTCCACCTTTATTTGAAGGAAAGTTTCCTACTGTGCCAAGTTAGGTTCACCTGCTAGTACGTTGTTTCTGATCAAAACATTAATCTTGAAGTAAATCTGACTGAACCAACTACAGAATTTCTGAAAGTCAAATTTCATCAGACCTCCATCACCTACATAGTTGGCCAACTTAGTTGCAGGCATTAGGAAAAGAATTAGTCCAGTAGAAAGGAGTATGACTCTTCTCTTAATTGAGTACCTTTTTATTTTTTGGACATCATTTCTTCCAGTTTTACATAAAAAAACATTTCCAGGAATACTAGACAAGAACTCCCAGCCAGCAAGACCTTTGTAAATTGTTATCTAACATATCTGAAGGGCCTTAGACTGAGAAAGGGCTAGATTTAAAACAGATGGAATGCTTCCCTTATTCACTGCTGCTTTGAACAGATTCAGAACTTTTTCTATCCTGAATTACTCTACCCAGTATTTCTATGGCAACATCTCCAACTGTATGGAACTGGGATGTCATGTTCTTGTTCAAAATAAGACTTTTTTTTTAGTTTGCTCATTCTGTTGATGTTCTTCTTTTTTCCACACTATGTAAATATAAACAAGCTACATGTTGGACTGTAAAATAGAAGCTATCATTGCAAGTTTGAACAGATTTAATTCTCAACTGGATATTACACTGAACAGTTACTCTAGAACAGGGCTTTTCAACCTTTTCACAGACTGTACCACCTTTAGGACATGACAATATTCGAGTACCACCAGTGGCCTAGCAAAATGTCAAAAACTTAATGACCAAAAAAAAAAAAAAAACCACAGGAAAAAAGTGTACCCACTTACCACACTTTTAATGGGAAACTTGTGCCTGCCTCTCTGCCATTAACTCTCCACTCTTCCCCCCACAAAAGGCCACCAAAAGCCACATCCAATGGATGCCCCTCTGTCCCCCAAACAAAAAAAGATTTTCCTATCCCTCCTCAGCCTGATATGTAGGAACAAGGAAGCCCTCCCATTTGAAGCTTTCTAAACTTCCTTCATCCAGATTTGGAAAATAAACGGTGGCTGCCTTAATATTTACCCCAAACTAACCCGAATACCAGAAATGTGGTTTTATACAGCTGATCAGAGTGGAGCGGGAAGGGGGGAGGAAAAGGAGGAGATGAGGGAGAAGAAGAAAAAGAGAAGGAGAGGAGAAAAAAAGAGGAATAGGAGGAAGAAAAAAAGGAGATACAGGAGGGGAAGGGAGGGGGACAAAGAAGAAGAGGAGAAGAAAGAGGAAGAGGAGAAAAAAGGAAGAGGAGGAAGAAACAGAGGAGAAATACGGGAGGGAGGAGGAGGAGGAGGAGGAGGAGGAGGAGGAGGAGGAAAGTTTTTTAAAATTACTGATCTGAATACCTGGCATTTCAATTAACCCATCTTGGCTTTTTTTAGCAAGCTAATCAGGGTCAGTGTTAGTCAGTGGTTGGATGGGGAACCACTTGGAGATCTCCAAGCTGTAGGCTGGATCAGCAAGTAGAAAAAGGAAAGGAAAGGAAAGGAAAGGAAAGGAAAGGAAAGGAAAGGAAAGGAAAGGAAAGGAAAGGAAAGGAAAGGAAAGGAAAGGAAAGGAAAACTAGACACTATTGAAAGTGTCTGCATTTAACACTTACTTGATTGTGGGGTCATAAGAAGGTGACAGATCTATCCTGCATTTTTTCCCTGGATATGATTATGAATGTGCACAAGAAAATTCAGAGGATATTGAAGCACTAACATTGCCATTATTGAGTGGCTCTCAAGTAAAGTAGGATATTCCTTGGAAAGCATTGGTATATAGTTCTAAAAAGCAATGAAGTTTAAATACAATCAAATGTTAGAGATGACTATTGGTTCAGTTTTTATAATTAATGGAATAGGATGGAATGTACTACCATGTAATTTAGTGATAGAGTTAATTTGTGGGGCCTATCTCCTCAATAAATGTAAATGGAGAATAATTATTAACTATACTGAATATTAATTAAAGATAAATAAAGTGAAGTGTCATATTATTTTTTTATCTATTTTGGGTTTCACTGCAGCAGAACACTGAGTGACAAAATATGTCTCTTGGTCAGAATCACCTTTCAGGCTCTATATACAGCAATTACATATTCATCAATCACATTTAAAACAAAAAACTTTGAGACTGGGATGTTGAATTCTGCTTGACACTGCAATAATGGTTAAAAGTTTCTGGGAGGCTGCGCACTCCGATCCTGGGCTCCTGCCCAGCTCACTTGCTTGCGCTTCGCCAGAAAACATGCTGCTTGCTAATTTAGCAGAAGCGCCCGGATCAGCACTCGGTTACAGATGATCTGCACTTCTGGGAGGCTCCGTAAAAGCACAGATCAGCTGTAGCTGCTCTCCTGGGTTCCTGCCCAGCTCACTCACTCGCTAACTCAACCTTTGCCTGAAAACACGTGCTTGATAAACACGCCGCTCGCTTGCTCGCCCTTCCCCCAAAAACACGCTGCTCGTTCACTCACCCTTCCTCCGAAAACAGGCCGCTTGCTCTGTCTCTCCTCACTGCTTCAGTAAGAAAAGCCTCTTCTCTTCTCAGTCTGCCCCTTTTATACCTTATCTTCTCTTCGCCCTCCTCCTCCTTTTCTCTTCTGGGTGCACCGGAAGCTCCAATTGCCATGTCGCCACATGCACAGATCCTGGGGATTCTGCCAAGCTCTACAGCTCCAGCTGATCTTCTCCAGGTCTGTGCAGCTCCACTTTAACTGGTTCCCTCCCCGACTACAATTAGCTAGGGCTCGCGTACCACCAGCCAGGTGTTAAAGTACCACTGGTGATACGCGTACCACTGGTTGAAAAGCCCTGCTCTAGAACAGGGGTCGGCAACCTTAAACACTCAAAGAGCCACTTGGACCCGTTTCCCACAGAAAAGAAAACACTGGGAGCCACAAAATCCTTTTGACATCTAAAATGAAGATAACACTACATATATCATTTTTACCTTTATACTATGTATAAAAAACTATAGTGTTGCATTTATGAAATCAATGAACTGCTATAAAGAAATCAATTTTTTATTTCTGCATAATTATCCCCATACCTCATCTCTTAATTAAAAAAAAAATCAAAATATTTCATTAAACGTTCCCCCCCCCTCTCTCTCTCTCCTTTTTTTCTGGGATAACTCGGGAGGGTACCTCTCTCGACATCCAAATTCCTTGTGGGGAGAAGAAGCAGAACCCAAAGCTCTTTTCACGCGCTCTCTTCCTGGTTGAGTCAGGGGTTCCATCCCAGGACACGGCTGGGCTCTGTGGACCCCCTCGGCAGGGTGGGGGGTCAACCCTCCAGCTCTAACCAGTGAGCGGCAAAGCCAGCCCCCTTGGAAGACCCCCAAAGCTGCTCAGCTGGGCTGCCCCGTGCGGCTCTCCAGCCATGTGCGCCTCAGACGGGGCCAGCATGGGTAAGGGACTTCCTGGCTAAGCTTCTCCCAGGGTGCAGGGCACCCAGGTGCAGGGCCAATCAGGAGCCCCACAAGGGGGCAAGTCCACATGAGAGAGAGAGAGTCTCTCTCTCTCTCTCTCTCTCTCTCTCTCTCTCTCTCTCTCTCTCTCTCTCTCTCTCTCTCTCTCTCTCTCTTCCCTTTACGTTCACAGAGAGAGACAGAGACGTTTACCGTCTCCTCCTGACCCTCGGTGTCCTCGGCTGAGCACGAGATCTTCCTACAACTCTCTTAATGTTCAAAACAGGTGACTTAGTGTCCGGCTATCTACAGTATAGGTAACAGCTCTACACTTTTGACAAGGGACAAATAAGATTAAATTCAGAGAACAGTATGAGCATTTTTAATTATAATTATTATGATTTTATTCACTTATAGCATAAAATACAAAAGAACAAAAGCAAATAATAGGGAACAAAGGTAGAGGAAAGGGAAAAAGAGAAGTGTAGAAAGAGGGGGAAGGTGTTGACTTCCAACTCTCTCTGTTGCAGTAAAATAAGGCATTAACATTGAACCTCAACTTTTTACATTTCTATAATAGTATGAACTAGCCATCTCTATATCAACAAATCAATCTAATCAGTAAAACCATAGTATCATTTTTTTCCACCTCAAGCACAAAGTTCAGAAGCAGTCTCCAAGTAGAAACAAAAGTACTTATATTCTTTTCTTTTATCAAAACAGTCAATTTAGCCATCTCTGCTAATTCCATCAACTTTAGTAGCCATTTGTCCATAGTGGGAATCGAAACCCTAACCCTTCCATTTTTGTCTTGCTGCCATCATACGTTTATAAAATCAGAGTTCCAATTTTTTTTCCAAGTCTTTTTCCATTAGACCCAGAAGGAAAGTTTCTGGTTTAATCTTTATATTCACTTTAAGAATTTTCTGCATTAAAATATGAATCCTACTCCAATATTTCTTTGCTTTATCACATGTCCACCATAAATGATAAAAAGTCCCTTCTTTACATTTACATTTCCAACATTTATTTGAGATTCCTCTATACATTCTAGATAATGTATCTGGTTTTAAATACCAATGATACATTATCTTATTAAAGTTTTCTTTTAAATTGTACTTTAATGTGAATTTTAAGCCTTTCATCCT